ATCGAATAAACAGTTATACAACGTAGTGATACCAGCTTGGTGTACACCAAATTTGCAAGAGAGCACCTCGAGGCCGCGCTGATCGACAGTGATCCTGGTTCTGCCGTTAGGCAGGCTGCAGACCTGGCCGTCGCAGGACCATCAGGCGGGCACGCCCCTTACCTGAGACTATAGGCGTTCATCATTATAATGATGAACGCAATGTGGCGATTTCCCGCCCTTACACAGAACTTTGGGCTGCGCGATTGAACGTCTGGATTGCTGTTTTTCTTCCTTATATCGTTTTCATTACTAGTTGGTCGGAAGCTCTGACATCGGCGTATAGATCTGCATCCACACCTTACGCGAGTGTATGGATGATACCGTCGGAAGGACTGGTACACGCGCAAGGATTTCAGCATGTGGATGGCTATAATTGTCGGACGCATTCAAATACGAAGGATATATCGAGGAGCCGGAGTTGCATGGTTGTTGATATAGCCATAGCTGTTAAAGGGAGGGCGCGGGTAAGCTTTAGGGTCGTGGCGTTGGTGCCATGTGAAAGCGAACGCCCTCGGAAACACCATCGCACAAGTGTGAAGTCATAATGTTAGATCAGAAATAGAAAATGCGCCTGGGATGTTGGGAGGTCCTAGGGGAAAAGCATCCCTTTCCTGCGGAATTTTTTGCCCTGGTGTAGGGTGCGCATGCTGCCATAGTTCAAAACCATGGGGGTTCCTCAGCGACTTTGCGTCTCAACCTTGGCTGAAGGTATAAAGCTTGAGGAAATTTTTTTCTCGTTGTTTTCGAGTTCTTCAAAGTGATTTTCGGATTCAGCGCCAGAATGGATAAGCTTATGCAGGCGAAAAAGATGGGGGCCCAGAGTTCGCCAAGTCAATTGAACAAAAAACATAAGTAGGAGTCCCTTAAACTACATCAGCTGCTGTTAGAAGCCTGCCTAGCAACATTTTAAAATTCAGAAAACTAATTGGCTGTATTAAACGGGGAAAGATTTCCGAAATGAGAAGATCTATGCACAAGCAATTGGAAGGTCTCAAATGTTTATATAAGCTTAGAAACTGGCCAAACGCGACACTCAATTCAGAACGGCACTTTACAGGCGCAGCCGACCGTTCCGGCTAGTCGATGAGGGAAAAAGCCGCGAAGCATTGAGAACGAATGGAGAATGCGAGACGCTGATATTCAAAGATGAAAACCCTATCGGCCGTCTTACAAAGGAAGAATGGTCGAGTGGTGAAGAAGAGATGTATGCATCCTTGAAGAGCATGGTGCGCTCAAATTTGCCTTCTATATCAACTGCGTTTGTCAATCAGAAGTTACGAGGGTACAAGCAGAAAATTGAATTAGAAACCGGGATAAAATTGATCGTCAAAATTGTCCTAGCTCCGATAACGCTAAGTGAGAGTCAATATGAACTGATATTTATTTCACGAAGTGCACTTACGATTATCCCACTCCATCTAGGTGCTTAGAAGGGCATTACTACAAATTTTATCCTGGTCACGCATTTAGTTTTTTCCTTCTAAATGCTCATAAATGCCCACCCAAACCGTGCCAGATTGGGGTCAGCGTTTTAAAGGCAGCGCACATCCAAGTTTCGTTTTCCATGTTTTTATTGCTATCGGACCTTTCCATGGCGCGGATTTCGGGTACGAGAATCACCAGGAAACTCCAAAACCGCTCCTTTTCGAAGCCATAATTTGGCAGACGTGGGCGAGAGCCTCGTCGCTAGTCACGTGGTACACTACAGGACACGCTACGCTCATCATGTGCAGCACGGCCACATCATAAACTATGCGTTTCGAAGTTGCTTGTCATGTCAGAATACGTCACGAGGCAATCCGTGGGGTTGAGCGCAAAAAAGGGGGGCGGAAAGCAAAGAGAATTCTTCCCATTATCTCCTTTTGTAGGCAACATTAGGGGACCGGACCAACGCAATTGGTCTACTTTTAGGTCCTGCCAGTAGGATAAGTTGAATCTGGGGTGAAGTTTTTGTATGGACGCTGCCTTCAAAGGCAGCGGCAACTCTGGACCTATGGGGATTTTACGTAGAAAGTAATTTTGGGGCCCCAATTAAGGCACTGCCCAACCGCCAGCTCAGGTAGTGCTCTAGTGGCTGAGATGTTCCCCTCAAAACTGGACCCCAGGATCGGCTCGCATGGATTCTGGCGCAACGCGGGTTCGCGCTATATTGATGGGTTGCGCCATGAATCCACGCGAACTACGATCCTGGGGTCCAGTTTCGAGGGAAACATTTCAACCGTTAGAGCCTACCACTACCTGAGCTGCCGGTTGGGCAGTGCTTAATTAGGGCCCCGAAATTACTATCCAGGTGAGATCCCATATGTCCAGATTTGCCTGGAGGCTGCCTTTAAGCACTTCAAAGCAGTATAGGTACTTATCATCTTACATTTGGAAGGTCACTTTAACCAACTACCCTTCCCTTGTTAGACAAATTTTTGAACGCATGCGTGCAGGTTTTCAGCAGACATTTTGATTATAATGTTGATGTTGTTATGCCCTTCACCAAACCTCGTATTGGCATAACAACATCAACATTATCATACGACATGCCGAAGTTTTAAGAAACGAGGACAACCAAACTACTGATTTTGATTATAATTCCTACTATTTTAATTTTCACACATTAAGCAGTTGTGACAAAGATCAACTACCATTTTCGACTGGCGGAATTCACAGTGCGAGATCTGCGTGATTCACGAAGTTTGCAGATCCGAGAGGATTCAATTGATTACAATCCTCGAACGGATGACTCTATGAGGTTTTTTCACTATGAAGTATTATCAATTCATGTGGATACGGTAAACGCACGCATAGTTTCATGAAGGGAATCATCGCGTTGCAAATTTGTAAAGAGTACCTTTCGTAAGCGCAATATCACGATATCACAAATTTTCAGTAAAGGCAAGAGTGACCTATATATAAGACACGAAGAATTGCAAATGAAAAATGTGTCCACTGAAGTAGAACGTCCTCTCGAGAAAAAAAAACTGTTCGTAAAAAAACACTCAAAAAACTGATCATTGTGAAAAACCTGTAAGTCTGCATTTGAAAGTGCTGTTCCTCTCGAGCAATTACTTTTTTCGCAGACTTTTTTCTATCCCACTCCACTTCTCGAGAATTTTCAAGGAGAAATAAGTGGTTTAGAAGAAATTTCTAGCAAGCTTTTTCAGTGAATAAAAATAAACTTCGACGACAAATGATCGATTGAACGTTGCAAGAGCTCCACTTAGAACTTGATCAGTTGTAGGCATCTGAGGCCGTTTCATGTCCAAGAACATTCTATGCCGTGTTCCAATGCGCTTCCATCAAAGCTCGTAAGATTGCCAAAACATCGCTTTAATGGTTAGAAAAGGCTTAATGGATAGAAATTGTGGAACTAATTAGCCAGCAACTACTTGAGCATGCTTTGGTATCACGATTGAGCCTCCAAACCCACCTATCCGATAATTTGCAATATTTTGCAATTTTTTTCACACGTGCAAAAAAAAACAATATGAAACAATATGAAGATACAATATGAAAAAACTGAGGAGGCTCAACAATGATAAGAGTCCACAAATGCTGAAAAGAAAGCTGGTCTTTGAGCAGTGCCTAAAGGTACAGCTGCTACAACATACACAATTATTAGGTTGGCCCAATACTCTTGGTTGCTTTTGGCACTATGTAGAAATATTAATGGCATCTGTATGAATGTCTGAAATCATTTTTAAGATAATTCGAGAATTAGATGTTCAACGGTGCTGGAGCAGAAATCCTTCGTTCAATGAACAATTAGTGCTGGAACTAAAGAGCACAAATTTTTCACCAAAGTTTTGAAATTCGTGCAAGGTCGTGACATAAGTTTTCAGACACTTTTTTCATTTTCTTCTGAGAAATTCTAGAGACTTTGACAAAGCCTATTATTTGGCACATATGAGCAGTGGACAAAGCAGTAACTATTGGCATCAGCACCACCGGTATGGGTTACAGTAAAAATAAAGGTACTGTGACGGCACTCAAATCTCCATTTTTTTCCTTTTGCCTTCAAAAATTATCTCACTCTTATTTTTAATGCTATCAGATTTTTCTCATTCCTAAAGGCATTGGTACTAATAAGGGAAGTTGAAGTCTAGACAGTTCAATAAGCAAGTTGGAAATTTGCAAAAAATAATTCAGAAAAATTTCAAAACATTCCACGTGTGGCATGTATATATTGAAAAATTGAAGCCCTTCACTCAATTTGGAAATGAGAAAAATTCTAAGAGAAATTTATGAAGGCTTTTTTTCAAATGTAACAAAACTTATATTACAAACTGATAAATGTACAAATGGTGTGTATACATAGATTTGACATTTGCAGCCATTTACATGGCCATAGATGGTCAACCTCAACACTGCATAAAAATTCACTTCGCGCAGGAACGTTAGAAAATGCTCACATTTCTGACTACAAAAGAGTCGAACGGGAGGGCACAATTTTGGCATTGTTTCGCCGTTAGCTAACTTGCACATCGAACTGAAATCTAAGAAAGGGAAAAGTGTCTAGAAACTTGCGATTAAGACTCAGTGAATGGAATTGCGTTGGTACTTGAGCACGTTTGCGGAAGTTGAAGTTCTGGCACGAAGCTAGCACGCTGGTGGCACGCTCAAAACCCTGACGCGTAGGGATGGTCAACTGACTATTCCGTCAGGGATATGAATCATGTGCATGGCAAAGCATTACTGCTGATAAAAAAGTTCCTGTTAGATTTTTTAGGCGGTAGTTTAATAACACAATTAGCCACCCATTGCTCAAACCCGTACACAATAGCTCACATAACTCAAAGGAGACCAAAGAAGACCGCAGAAACAGCTTAGCATCAATCAAAAGCTAAAATGGTTTTGCCCTTTCAAAAGCTGTGGCTCACCTATAACTCTTCAAAGCACTAATGAGTTACATCTGCTTCGCCCTCCTTTTCATTCTTGCTCAAGATAAATCACTCAATTCTTTCACTTACCGTACTTCTCCGACACTACTGCTGCGTTCCTTGCGTTTACCGCGTATCTTCTTGTAAATGCAAGAATCCGAACGGTCTTCCTAAAATCCCATGATAATTTTCATCTTTGCGAAATATTCTAGAAATCTTACCTGAGGAAGAATCAACGGTACCGCAAGTCGAGGCTGTGGTTTTATTAGCGGTGGGGGCGAAACGACTTTGCCTGGAAAATCGAATCTCCGCTTTGCTTTGTGTTGCAGAAAATGAACCGAAAAATTTTCCGGAACAATCGCTCTAGAAAATTTTTTTACGATACAGCTTCCACTTTTTACGATAACCGAGTTTCCACAAATCATGACTAAATCTTATTCAAAATTTAGTTTTCGAAAAAGGGAAAATCGAGAAATCCTGCCTCGATGATTGAAAGCGACACAATCATTTGACAGTGATTAGCGCTTTCAGATGAGTCACTTAATGCCACGTCATTTCAAAGCACAAAAAGCGATTTTGCGATTTTCTGATAAAATTTTCACACCCTTATCCTACATGATCTAAAAGAAGCAAACGTTTGCTACTTCTCAGAGCTTTTGAGGTGATATCTGCTACTGATTTAAGTTTATTTGCCTTAAAATGTTACGTTGCTGAAATATAGCCCAGACAGGAAAGAGGGGAATGGGATGCGCATCGACTTCCTTCTGGGCTATTTTTCCAGAAAATTCGGCTCTATATGTATCAAGTATGTACATATATGGATTTCAAAATATTTTTAAGTCACGAGCACGGTAAGTATTTGAGAGAATACTAGGATTAACGTTAGCCAAGAACTCGAATGCTTTTTTAAATTTTAGAGAGACATCAATTGCTTGAACTTTTCCTGGACTGAGAGTATACCCAAAGAAACACTGCTGCTTCTGGCAATTTTCAAATTTGTGGGAAACTTTCCTTAAATCTACAGAGAGTGTGAATGGCACAACTGAATTTCCCAAAACCACTGTTTTTTAACTGCAAGATGGGCTGGCTGCTGAAGTGTAAGGACAGCAAGCACCATACTAAGAACAGACAATAGGTAGAAGAGGGAAAAAAGTCTCAGTGGTATGATAAAATGGCAGCTTTTATCAACAAAAAAAAGATACTTAGGAATGCGTCAGCGTAAAAACGTGGCAGGGTGAACACATATCTGTTGGGAAAAAAATTTTCAACGGCTACTCCACAATGAACGACGTACATGATAAATCAGTTGACTTATGTGGAAAAACCGATGACAAGTTTTTTTTCGCAAGGGAGAAAGGAGCTAAATACACCTTGTTTTACATAGTGTTAGCTTCATTATCTGGCTTTGTTGTGATCTCTTCTAGCCACACGCGTGGAATAAAAAATGTGTGAAAGATGCTGTTAGATGCTGTCATAAATATTTATCTCCTTCATACTTCAAAATGTTTAAAATGTGTCAGCGACGTGCCAACGCCGTGCTGGACTTCGATCGATCGACGAGTACGTGCACGTGGGTTCGGCCCGGCGTAAAAACGCGCTGGCACGCCGCAGCACAGAGCAACCGTGAACGTTGTCTCAAAGAATGTTAAGAATGTTCTAAAAATTAACTTCAAAAATTCAAAAATAGGATTCAAATTTCATCTTGAGGTGGCTAACTTTTGCTGTTCAGTAACATGAAGGAAACCAAACAAAGAAATTAGCCCCTCCATGCTGAGCTTTCTTTGTGCAAACGTGAAAACTTTATGAAACCTCCTCAAGATTTGTTGGCAACGACAAGCATCATACCGTCTACGCAGTATCTCTATTGATCTTTATTATTACCATCCCTTATTGCTATAATTACATGAAATAGTTTACAATTACCAATATGTACGTAAAATTATGGTAAGAATAAAATATTCCGTGAAGAGACTGTCACGTATGTTGTAAGGAATTTTAGAAAACCGCCTCTTCTAACAACTGCAATCAAATTTTCTCGTTTCCATGCAATGCTCGCGTGGTTGCTGAGCATTCAACCACACAACATTTACAAGTGCTCAGCGATTATATGCGTAGAAAGCAAAACGCATAACTGACGTAAAAAAGCGGGAATTGCGGGGTAACAATAGAGGAAAAGTGCTCACTAGGAAGATCCAGAACAAATAATTCAGTTTCCCACTCTGAAGAAGCAAGCAAGCCAAATTTTTGCAAAAACCTTGCTATTCGTTGCTTTGACTCAATAGCATTGTTAAACACAGAAGAAAGAATTGGGGTTATACTGTCTTCATTTGCCCCGTCCCCCACCCCCCTCCTGTATTTTCAAAACTCACTTTTGGTAGAACACTGTGCTCAGATAGGGCAGCGTATCTTCTCCAGATATTATTATTCAAATATGTGCTTAATCTAGCCTTGAAAAAATAAGTAAGTACGGACAGATTTGGCGTGTACCCGAAGAGGCCAAAAGTTCGGTGGAAATTTCCAAAAAAAAAGAAAGACATTTCGACTTTTGACTTTGCTCAAAAGACTTTTGCTCAAAAGTTTGCATACAATACTGCTCTACCTGACTTCACTACACTTTTTCTGAAAAGACGTTAGGAGACTGGAGGTCAACTACAACACCTGTGAGGTGCTCTTATACGTTAGCAATGGCGCGGAAAAATTGCTGGCGTTATGGCTTGGCAAAAAGTGCTCGAACAAGCGCGAAATTCTGCACTTCGTCCTCTTGCGACAATGTGGGGTCTTCCGCAAAAAAACAGAATATGGTTTCTGTTAGGTAAGTAGCCTTCCTTTCGGTTTGCTAACTTGGCAGATTCAAACTCTTTCTTAAAATCCCTACATAAAAACTGAACGTGCACCTTTCCTCTGGTATGATGAGACCACACATCAGCATTTTTTTAAAGCTTTCGCTAAATTTGGGGAGAAGCTTCTGTTCTTCTAGTAATCCAACGAAGTGATCTTATAGGAAAAAAGTAGCAAGATTTTTTTGGAAATGAATTCTCATCATGTGAAGCAGAGCCGGGATTACGTGCATATCAATGACATAATGTTAAAAATTTCGAAAATTGATTCCACAAAAAGAATAAGTGATTCCATAGAAAGAAATTTCATGTAGAACCTTAAAGCATTTAGAACAATACGCGGAAGAAACAGCAAATTTTATTTTATTTTTAAAGATGGGGAGAGAGTGGTGAAGAACAGTTGCCCCATGGCAATTCAGATTATTTCACTCATATTTTCAAAACTTGTGATGCCCGAATAGAAACTTTCTAGATATATGGAACAGATCTGACATGGAAAACTTCCATTCTCATACAGTCGTAAAAGTAAAACTCGCACTATTGTCGCTTATTGTCTAATCCCCAATCGCGCAATCCAATGCAAAAAGCTGGGTTTTGCACCTATACGCAACGACTGTAAATATTGCCTTCAAATTAAGATTTAATAATAACATATTAAATTCACTGTGAGAATATGAACTAAAATTAGGCATGCCTACAATACAGATATGAATCCGCGCTAACCATGACATTTTCAAACACATAATCCAAAGGGTCGTGCAATAACGAGTGGCGTGAATAATGACACATCGCTAGAGAATGTGCGTATCCATACAATGTGCACGAGCCTTGCAAAAACACGCACTGCATTTTTTTTTGTTCTGCAGTTCCGTGTGGAAAAAGTGTACTTATATGTAGATTTGGTAAGGGAAAAAATTCGAGAGCGTTGCAGGCCGAGAATTTTGCCAATCACTGATTTTAAGGTCGACTAACTATTGTTTGGAACTACACGAAATCGCCCTTGATACCCTTCTTTATTTCTAATTCAGAAAAAAAGATTCTTTATACGCCGGCTATTTGAGGCTTTTATCATAGCTTCCTCTCCTCTCCTCCCCCCCCCTCCCCTTCCCTAAAGGACTTATAAATCTAACGAAGCTTCATTATGGTAAAGTGATAAAGTGAGCATCACATCGCTAATTTTTTGAAAATTGAGTTGGATGAGAACGTTACGATTATTGAAATGAGGACGCAAAGTTGTAGTAACGCGCCAAGAATTTCCATCAATATAGCTCATAGCATAATTCAAAAACAAAACCATATATTCTAAAAAACATCCTTGCCTTTCTTTAACTCAATATTGAAAGACTAGTTCCCTATTTTAGCCAAAACTACCCTTGAAGCCAGATGCGCACAAACGAGTGAATTGCTTACACAGCTACTTATAGCAGTTGCCACGTGATAAACAAAGAATTACTTTTATTTGTCCATGAATCCCCTAATTGTGTAATAACAAAAAAGGTGGCACTTTGATTTCGAAGCTATTGGTGAGCGCTCTTAAGGTATGGAATGTGAAAACAAATTTGTGCACAAAAAATTTCAAAAGAGCAAACAAAATGAAAGCAAAATGTATAAAAAGTAGGCTAGTTTATAACAGAGCAGAATTTAAGCTGACCGCTTCCACCTTGCTACTCAGCTTATTGTAATATTGTAATGAAGGAGAACAATGGCCGAGTACAGTCTTGGGAAGATGCCAAAAAAGGGAAAGGAAAGATCTGTACAAGCTCAACCAAATATAAATTCATAAATTTGAGCTGTGTGGCAATTTTTGCGCCTTTCAAATTATTATATGATCCTATATTTCTTCTGCACTTTACGGCCGTCAACTTCCTATAATAATTTGATATAACCACTATTAATCATAATTTGTTATGTTCCTATCATAATTTCTATTCAAGACCTCAAGTTTATCTAAATACTTACCATAGCTGAACTGTTGTTGTGGTGGAGAGTACGGTGAGAAAGCCGAGTTCTCGGAAGTCTCAAGACCGCCCATTCTGGAAAACGAGAGCGTGAACGACGATTCGAGTGGTCGCTGCTCGCGGGCAGCACCGTATAATCGCTCGAGCAAACGACCATTAGCCACAAAATGCGCGTCAACACCGCCAAAGACGTCAAGAAACCGGAAACACTCCTGTAGGCGCCAGAAAACACTCCAAGGGAACATGGAGCAGGACCTTGCTTCATACGGAAGTGAAGAAGTGCTCAGATAACTCAGACTTTGAGAAAGGTTGATTAAGGAGGCGGAAGAACGGAGGCAGTGGGGGGGGGGGGGTAAGGTGGGAGTGTTTAGAGGTGGTAAAAAAATTCTTCAGCTGAAATAATTAGGTTGGCTTTTAAATAAGATTGGTCGCTTTTGCGGCTCTACATGCTGCAGACAAATTTTTTGTTCAGGGTGTGGTATCTCTGGAAAGAGCACTTCAGTGGGAATGCAGTATAAATCCTATTTGGGTAGAACTTATCTTCCAAGGAAAAAAATCCGCAAGGAAGTGAGAAACACCATTTTTTTCATAGTGCGCAAATATGAGGAAATTTGGTTTTCATGAAAGAAGATTTTCAAAGTGGCTGATCACAATTTTTTTCTATCTAGTGAATGGGGAAAACTCCTCTGTACCCAAATACCAAACTGCTGTTCTCCACATCCATTACAGCACGGAAATGAAGCTTCGGAATTTAAGAGTTGAGCTTTTGGAAGATTAGCCATTGAGGCATAACTGTCTTTACTGATAATAGCAAATCCTGACTATTTGATATGTGGTAGAGGAGGCCTAAAACTACTTTCTAACAAAAATTCATGGATAGAAAACAACAAGAAAAATTTTTATGATGATTTGTATGCCAAAACGAACTTTTAGCCAACCTAATACTATCTCCTAGGGTCTGACTCACCTTTAAGGGTGGAAATGTGCGGTGTAACCTTAACCTATGTGATATAATAATCGAGCACGTATGAGGAGTTTGATATTAAAAGGGGTGGAGTTTGCCACTTTCTAGTCACCTCATTTTCCTGCTTTTAAAGTAGGAATAATATAGACAGTGCTTTAAATGATTGCTGAATATTTTGGATATAAAAGAAGATCGTAGGTGTTTACAGGAAAAGATCTGGGTTTTGACGGGATTCCATTTTCGAACTATTTTCACGTAAACTACTTATTAGCAATGCAATGAAGAGCAACCAAACCAGGAACACTGTGATGGAAATTGAGACGTAAATGCAAACACGTGAATAATGGGAGAAAGTTTGAAAATGAAAATCATGAAAACCATGAGAACCATAAAAATCTGTGCTGAGTGGCTTGACAGAAAAACAAAAGACTTTCAAATGCTTATTTTGCCGAGTTGAGCACTTGAAAATAGGTGCTCATCTCTGATTACTGTAAAAAAAATCACTCATATCAAAATTTTGACCACCTGAATATTCAAACAGTAATAACATACAACATAATAACAAGGCTTTCAGGTTGCAGAAAGTATGCATTCCGGGTCTTATTTTGTCTCAACGACTGGAAAATACAGTGGAGAAAATATATTTGTTCCCAATGTTTTGACGACCATTGTTACTAATCTTTTATGATGACAATGAATAACTGCCACATAAGAAAACAAATAACTGTTTTTCTCATTAATTGTCTAAACATATTCGATAAGAATGAAGACATTGAGGATCGCACGTCCAGGAAGTATGCGGACGAACAAGTTTGAAGTGGATAGGAAAAGCATAGAAACGAAAGAAGAAGGAACTTAATGGCCAGATGAAGGTTTGGTGGACAAGAAAAAGAGAAAAGTCGACCAGTTCTCTTCTGAAGACTCTTCCTCAATTCATTTAGTTCAGTGGGATTCTGGGTGCATATACCATAAGCGGTTGTTATTATGAATGAATGTTCTTGCAATATTTACATTTACCCTACGTAGGTATGTATACGACTTACAAAGCTTCAAAAATCTCTTACAGCTATGATTACCGCCTCGTCTACAAAGCACTGGAAACTCAAAAACTTGCAACTTCTATATTGTTTCCTATCAAGCACTAAGTCCAAATAAAGTGGGTTTTATTCACAAAAATAAAAATTTGAAATTCCGGAACGATCGTGCGCGCTTCTAATTAAGAGTAGCAGCAATCATGCCTCAGAGCCGCTTAGCTGCAAAAAAATTTCTTAAAAAAGGATGCTAAAAATTTAAAACGGTCAAAGAAGGCAAAAATCATGCTCACCATCGCTTATGCAAGGATTACAATTATTCAAGCCTTCTAAAGTTTACATATATGTTTTTTTATGCAGAAAATCTATTTCAAACTTTCCTAATTCAAGGAAAGTACGGCATCGGCAAGAGTTTGAAGTTTATTTTCTTGGCCAAGAATGACATATATGAACTACAGCTTTAGCAGTGGCTTAATTTAGTATAAGTATAATAGATATCGTCCATAAGTCATTAATGCCGCTAATTCACCGGAATTCCTATATCCGCGTCGTATCCCAATATTTCGTTTCAGCGTTGATGAATTCTGAATCGGAAAAATATCGCTCGACTCAGCTCGGCAAGGCGCTTATTCGGATGTAGAAAGTGACCGTTTGGATACGGTAGGTGCAAGATAGGCGAAGATTTCATGAAACTTTTCAGATTTTCGTATCCAGTACTAACCGCCTATCGTGTGCCTACCGTATTCAAAAGCGTATTTCTATATATCAGAAGAGTTCTTGGAAGGGTCCCTTGCATTCAAAAATTGATCTAACCTGACCTGAGATATAACGATGCAACGCGAATTTCGGTGAATTTGTGACTTATCAGACCCCAAGAGATAAGCTTTATGAAAGAAGAGGCTTTTAAATTTGCCAATGTCTTCAGGAGGAGAGGAGCGAAATGTGACGATGAAGTAAATATAGAACATACTGAGAATATTTCAAGGTTACTACATATCCTTGGCACTGTTTGCATATGGCGACACAGCGGTTTCGGGGCCTTCGAAAAAGCCATTCGCACAGCAAAAACGCCAACATATGCTAAGCCATTGTGTACGTACTCTTCTACGAGCGCTCTCGTAAATAGTCTTGATGAGCGAAACGACATGGAATGATTTTTCTTACCTCATGCCGGCTCTAATGTTCCCAGTTTTATGACTATATGCAAGATGTTATTTCTGAAATTGCTCATTACGAATTGAAAAAATCCCAGTTTTTCACTCCTTTTCTCCCACCAAAATTTACCGTTGACACTTCGATTAATATGGGAAACTCTGAAGTTTTTATCCTTCAACTGCAAAGATCCTTCTCAGATCTGTCATGCTCAATCAGAATAAGTTGCTGTGGCTAAAAGTGTTAAATTAACGTTCAAGAACAATAAGTTGCAATGTTTCAAAGGTACCGACTACATCAATTTCTAGAATATGCGAATTACTGGAACACATCCCAGTACTACTTGCAGGTATCTCTAGCGCATAAAAAATATTTTATGTTGACACCAAAGCTTCGCAGCACCTCTTATTTAAAAACATTAAAGTTTTTTTCATCTAAACTCTGCATATTTCAGTCTCATTAAAAATAGAAAAGTGTGCATTTACGACGGTGTCTTCTGTCGAAACATCTCAGAGAGTAAGCCTTAGCAGAATCGTACTCAAGTTGAGAAATGTCGAAGGCCTCCAAAATTATGCTGCCATAAAAGTGAAAAGTTGTGGCACAGAGAAAATTTTCTAATAGAAGTATCTCAGCTTATTTGAGCAACCCAAGTTTACGTCATTTTGACTGTAAATAAACTTTTGAATAGAGTCATAATTGCGGGAAAATCAAAACAGTTGAGCAGGCACTTCCATAATTAGAAAAAGTCGTTTATTGTTCTCCAGTCTTGGTTTTGCAAGTTTTAAACTTTGCAGCTAACTCAAAATATCTGGAATAGAGTCATCATCTTTTTCGGCTTCATCTCTACCAGGAAGCAGTTCTAATATTCTACAAAGCGCATGATAGAGCGAAAGATAATTTTTTTCAATAAAGTGCGACAAACCTTTTGTCTTAACCAAATTATTAGAGCTAAAAACCCTCAGCCTTCATTTCTCATGAAAATTATAGAAATGATGAAAATGTAACAAGTGAATAATGGGATCGCTTGAGAGGACTGTGTGCTCATCGTTAGGAATTTGTTTTCGTTAACATGAGCAGGAATTAAGAGTGCATAAGATTAACTCGTCTCTAATCTCATGCACTTTTGCACTTTAGAATTACATAACGAGCTCTTACAAAACATTTAGATGTTGACAATAAGAGAAATAAAATTTTTGAATAAAATACAATCATTTATTATGGCTCGAATTCGACCTAACAACCGGCCAAATGAAGCAATGAAGTGGAACGATGTCTACAACGATCTGCAATTATGCTTGCAGAAAAGGCGCAGACTGAGCGAAGCAAAAAAAGTAAAATAGCCATTAATGACCGTTGAAAAGAGGTCAATTGCTTGGTGTTTGCGCACGAGCTGGAAATTGGAAAAAAGCAAATTCACATCAATTAACATTTGTTCAAAACAGAAAGGCTACAGGATTACATTTTTATCCAAAAGAGTTGTCAAGTTCAACCATCAAATTAGATTTCACAGTACTAAAAATTATAGAAAATTTCCAACTATCTCAGACGAGAATATCAACAAACTATTTATTTTCTTATGACATAATGGTTGTTTGTTCAGAGGCATGCGCTGTTTCTTCGTAGAAAACAAACCAAAATATTCCAAACTAGTGACAATAGCTACAAATTCAGCAAGGTCGTAGATGTACGTACACTTTATATAGAGATGCAAAATACATAGAAGTCCGGCTTCGCTTCATTATCTCGAAAACTCTAGAAAAACTTCAGTGGACTTTGTAGACATCCTGCTAATTAGGCAAAGTCGAGAGCCCTAGTTCGCGAACGAAGGAAATACTGTAGGAGAAAAACACAATGCCAAAAGCTAATTAGCTAGCTAGTTTCTAGCGAAAATCCCTCCAAGACGAAAGAAACTTGTGGTTATTTGATTG